AATGAATAACATGGTTAATGTAGTAATAATTCGGGTATTTATTCTGTAATAAATGACATGTGGTGTTTTAATACTAATATTCATTGATAATTTATTCATTATTAACATTTCATATAATTAGTCTCAAATCTCGTTTATCTGCCTTATAAAACATGATTAGTGCATTATAATTATCAGGGTATATTAGCGATAGCGATCTTACATACCACTACCACAGGCTTTTGGGTCGGAGCTCGAAAAAAAGATTAAGTTAAACTTTGAAAGGCTCATACCAGGCCACTAACTATCTCATCCTTTGATTTTGTTTCCCAATGCAAGACCTACAAAAGTGTTTTTTAAGTTTACTATTCACCTAGTCATCCTTGCAATATAACATTGAGTTTCTTTCTTTCGGACTTTCAATGACTATATTCACGATTAATAACTATCTCTTTAAGATATATCATATCATGTTCGTTCTATTGGTTGTAATGATTTATAATCGTTTTGTAGACTCACAAACGAGACATCATTATGTTACCAAGAAATGTAATGAAGAAATAATGATCATTTAAAATTTTCTGGTTGCTAAGTTGTGGAGAATGATGAGAACTTATTTTTTTAAAATCAGTTGGTAATTTCACGTCTAAATGGCTGAAGATCAATTACCATCTTATCTTTCCACTATATGTTTTTTTATTGTGAGTTTTTACTGACTATTAATTCCAACCACTTGACGCTATGATTACAGCATCTGTATCTATTGAACAGAGTAAAATAAGACAAGATGAGTTCTGCAGCACGCTAAGTTGTTCAAGTAATCATAGTTTTTATACAGTTGAAATTAATCTGATGGTTGTGTTGTTACACCTTTCTTGTTAATGTCGCAATACTTCTCATTATGTTCACTACAGTGGAAGTAATCATCTTGTCTGTCTTTCTTTCATTTTCAGAATCTGATTTAAAAATGTATGAATAAATTGAAGTTTCACAGTAGCATTACATTACATAACAATAGCAATGTCTTTATTGTAAAACCATAAACAATGGTCAGAATAAAACTTATTGCCTCTCTGCTTTCAAAATCCAACAATATGGAAAACCTTTTGCAATCGCATGACCCTTTTATTTCGAGGCAGTCGAATAAACCTAATTGGCCTCGGGCACCATGTAACTCGACTGGTAATACAAACACAAATAGTAATCTTATTGCACGGATATGTCACGTAAATCGATGAATTTCTCATATGTTTTTACAAATTACCTTACTGGGTTTTACCAGGAAGATATAAAAGAGAGGTTGATTTTGCCCCGATTAGGATTAGATAAATCGCGGTGTAAATGAGACACGAAAGTTTATAACAGACGAATATAAGTACACTAGCCAGGTTCCAGAAAAACCAGACATTTCAGCTAAGTTTTCAATGACTGCATCAAGGAATCAGCATGCTTGTAATGAGTTTTTGAGACACGAAATTATTATTTCATAAGGTATTTAGATTCGACTCAATAATTTTGTATACAAACTTTCAAGCGTTATAGATCCGAAGCTGTGGGAAATACTTAAAAGGCAGTCTGAATAACTCTTTTGTTCTTACAACCATTTGTTAGGTAATCCAGGTAAGAAACTCACATGGTTCATGAATGTTCTGTTTTCATCTAATTGAATGCAGCGATAGATCGACAATGAAACAGTCATGTGATAAAATAGATCTTATAGTTTTAGGATAAGTTATTCAAGAGGACGTTTTTCTGTTTCCATTCGATGGAAATCGCTTTATAATGGTTTGCACTCCATTTCATAAAGTTAACGCAAAGGGAGATACAGTATAATATGCGGAATAACCCAGGACTCCACTAATTCATTTGCCATCTCTTCCCATGAGAATCCACATTGAGCTCACACTTGAATATGCTACCGGCTTTGCATAAAGAAATTGGTCTGATTTAGCCAGCATGGGTGTTTACTCCTAACATATCCGAAATAAAATGTCCAATTTAGACGTGTTTTGCGGAATCTTTAGCTCCCAACAAACATTGAATAGGTGTTACAACATGATGATATACTCAATGGTCTTGGGTGTTACGATTTGCCAGTTTGACAGTTGCCTTCATTTCTCTTGATTACATTCGCTATAATCGTTTACGACCCTGATCATGTGTATCTACAGCATTTAAGTTTCGTCACTGGCTTATTCCACAATGATGCAATTGTATGTGAACACAACACATAGGCCTATGTACAATATTATCACCATATCACAATATCGTCTTACCCGCAAAACCTCAAATTGGAATTATTTTAAAAATCACGTGATCATTGATTAGATATGACATTCTAGTTCCGGTTACGTCACAATAATAATCCCATAATCCTCTTCTTGTTCCGGCACGTTCCTATTACCCATTACACAGTAATCTTGGTCTTTCCGTCTTATTTGAAGGCTTGGAGATGATTACCGATAATCTCGACAGAAATCTCCGCTATATCTGGAACTTTAGATTAGAAATCACGATGCCAAATGAATTATTCGGATCACAAGAATCGGAGTTAATACATGTAAATAATGGAATGTCTGCTTTAAACCGCTGTTTGATGTTTTGCTATTTGATTTCATCTCTTGCATCATTCCTGCTGAAATAAAAATAATATTGTGGTTATCATAAAGGCTGAGAATTTTCGCATTAGAGGGACCTTTTACATGCACGGCTAGTAGCTGACAGCTGACGTCGGGACTTCGGTGAGATCACCAACCGATAACAACATACATCACAACAACAAACGAAAAGGAGAAAGAAATATACGGCTTTACTTGGCTGAAAGGAAAAAAAGCAATAAAATTCTTAACATCATAATATGATAAATGTCAACTCTGTTAAAATGCAACACATTTCCTTTGTTCGGAATGAAGACAAATAATTTAATAATACGTCAATATTCCATCAATTTGAAATAGACCAATTTCCGTCTATACATATGGAAGTTGTAAAACAGATGTAAAGAATCTGCCATTTTGTGTAATTATATTGTAAATGCATGTCATTTGATTTTCTGTTAAATCTCAGAAGACCAGATTAAAAACATTTCACTGGTTTTGTTTACATGTACCGAACATTTGTATTCTACTACATTTAGTTAGATTTCATTGCCTTAAGTCAATAACAATTAGGGTGCAAATCGACATTGTCAATTACTGGACTTCGGAGTCCTTTCAATTGGAATTACTAAAGTATTTAAGAAGGAAGATACCTAAAACGTGTAAATCTGTCGATAGAAATAAAATTTCAATTTATAAAGAAGAGAAGTTTGTAACCTAATGATCCTCAGACAGATAAGTTCCACGGTGATATTATAGAGGATTGGCTGAATAGAAATTGATAGATCGGAATCACTGATCAATTCGCGTTATTTTTTAATGAAAAAAAAATCATCAATATCAACAAAAAAACATTCGATGAATTGCTTATAGAAATTGTCTGAGTTTATGAATGCGAGTCGATTGATGGATGCTAATGAATAAGTCGGGATTTACGTCTTCTTTGTATGTCTTATTGCATTCTTGTGTACATTCTCCGATATTCTGAATACAGATCATCTAACAAATCAGATAAAATGTTCAAAATAAGTTTTCCAATCGCTTTCCAGGGACCGACTTATTCATCAAAACACAACAAATACAGAATATCAGTAGTAACATTTTAATGAAATATTCCCAATACAAGACAACGCTAGCTAAATTGGTTGACAAATCACTGATGAGTTTCTCAGATTGCTTTCAATTGAAATGACAAAAAAAAACTATTAAATGGCTGAACTCATTCCCCAATCTTTAATTCATTCAAATTGTCTCTTGTAACAAAGCATTCGAGTATAATTCTTTAAAAATCTCCTTATTTATAGCGTATTGGGGGGACATCACACTGACTCTGACACTCCCCCACCCCCTCGTCAATGAAATCTTGGCTACACCACTGGTTGTGATTTGTGTTCGGTGCTCATGTACTTTTATTATTCGCAACCTTGCGCACGCATGCATGCGTCTAGACATTGATACAAATTCAGTTGATTTAATCATTTTGGTTTTGAGGATCCAATCATACCAGATGCCTTACAGTTTTAGATACATCATCCGTCATAATATTATCTACGAGGAATATTTATGGAAATCAATCGGCACATGGTTTTTTTTTTTGTATAATAACTCAATTCGGAGCTTGATAGAAAGCCATTTATAGTTAAAAGTATTACGACTATTTCTATTAACGTTTGTAAAAGGATTTAGCAGAGAAGAAAAAAACACATTAAATAAACAATAAAAGTCAAATTACCTCTTTTTGTATTCGTCGAACCTGAAAAAATAACAATTGACAAAAGGAGTATAAACATTCATATTTGATGGGACGGGTAAAATAATTTACGTCAAGAAATGAACAATCAGTCTGGTTCAAACACAAGAAAGTCATCAAAGTGGCCTTCGGGCACTGTGCCTACAATCTTTTGTTGCCGCTGTTTCTTTACCATCTGAAAAAAAGGTGATATTGATTCCATGTCTCTAAAGGGCCATTGATAAAGTAAGTCACAAATAACAAAGAATTCAAACAATACCGGAAGTTTCGCACTTCCTTCAATAAAGACAATGCTTGTTTTTCTGTCTTTGATGTTTGTTGATTCAAAGCAATGTGAATACCCTAGTTATTGATATAAATGGCTTCTTTTCTCTTGGAAAGACATTTGTTAGCTATTGATGCATTTTATGGAATAAAGCAGATCATGAAGGCATATCGCATCGATCAATACTTTTCACCATGTCTGGCTTGAACCGCACATGAAAGTAAATTGTAAGAGATGAAAATACCACATGGATGGAAAACAATGCCTTACATCTGTCTTTATTGCTAATGGGTCAATGTTTGAAATAGTCCATAGATGTATATAAAACAAATCAGATGCAAGAAAACCAAAGCCTACCTGATAAAATTTGAATTTTAATTCCTGCCATTTGAGATCCATCGGATGACTGACACACATAGTTCCCAGAATCATTAAGATCAGTATTTTTGATTGACAGTCTACTCGTAATGATGTCATTAGTTTTTGAGTTATACGTCACTGAATTTTTGATGATGATTCTATGACTGTCTATAACATCCAGTCTTTGTTTATCTTTTAACCAAAACACAGATTCTGTTTCGTCTTCTATCACTGTCACATTACAAACAATGTATATAGCACTGCCTTTCTTTATATCATTGGCCCCTACAATCTGTATTCCTTCAATATAGATAACATCAACAGTGGTATTCAGATCAGTATATCACTAGAAGGGCAAAAGTTTTACCTTCTACAATTAAATAGGATAAGGTCAACGATATTTAGTGTAAATATGGTGTAATAATAACGATAATGGTTTTACATTCAATTAAAACAGAGTTTCTTAATTTTGACCATATTCTTTTACCTTTGAATATCAGATTCTAAACTTTTTGAATCGTGTGAAGGAATGAGTGTTTTTAAGCTCATATTCAATAATAGCTCTAAACCTATCCCAAGGCCATTTGAAGGCTGCATAATGACATTTAGATGATTATAAAATAAAATCTTTTTTTAGAGAAATATTAGAATCTCAGGGGGTTAGAGTATATAATAGAAATTAAATGCACGAAGTTTTTTTTATAAGAAACTATTAGTTATCAATTTATGTATAATTTCTTACTCGAATAAGAATATCAAACAGTGTTATGCAGTGCAATTCAATAAATTTGTACCGCAGCCATATTAAGCTTCAACTGCCTTGGAATCTTTGTCATGTACATTATGTGGCATACACAACCAAACTTTGTGTCTTGTCCAATCCAAACAATAAAAGGCATCTTCCATGAAAGAACTAATCAAGAGAAAATGTAGGTATATTATTACATAGTTATTTCTAACATGTAATATTTTGGCTGAATTGGTTGTCAGTCCTTGGTGATTTGCTGATATTATGAAGCAACTTACGACTACAATGCAGGCCAGATAATGAAAAAACTTACGTGCGTGTCGCTTGGCCGTAAGATCTGAAATATAAAGGTTGATAATTAACATCCAGTCCCCTGACGATACCTTATATTTTATATAATGTATGATTTGATGAGATATTGTTAAGTACAGAGACGCCTCGTGATATTAAAGGTCAAGCAAGGTCAATGACAGACGACATCCTTCCATAAACAAGATTCAGAATTATTCCTACATCCTATAAGATAAAAAATATGTTGTATAACATGACAAATGTAACATATATTTGAACCTGGGATACTTCACATTTCAGTTAAATGTAGTCATCATTCACATTTCAGTTAAATGTAGTCATCATTTATTTAACATGGTAGTTTAGGGATCCGAGGCCTAGTCGAGTATATCGTCACTTGTTAGTATAGGCTTTACTGCCTTGATGCTGATTGTTTACAACACCTATTTACATAAAGCTAAATAACTAGACCCTTTTGATTACATTGTTTCAATAACGTTCTATTTTTCATAACATTTTCAAATTTAAAGAAAGGCACGATGGTATCCAATAACTAGAACAGGGATTACGATAGTGGATCTTTAAGTAGACTATTCACAAATGGTATTAGTATATAATAGTATGCTATATTTCACATTACCGTGGCTTATTGTTAATAATATATGATGATACAGGTTAATGTCCAGTACACATTCAAACAATGTGCTGATATAATATGAATCTATAACCATTCTATTAAACATCGTATTTAATGATATTAATACTGATAATATGATGATCAAAATGGTGATTGGGTGGTTTTGAGAAAGATCCACTACGAGCAATTCCTTTCACCTTTTCAGTCCTATCACAGAACTCATATGCTTTAACTTTGGTCTGATTTACAGTATCTATCTATTATAAAGACAACATTCTGTCCAGATTGACCTAATGGTTAAGCAACTTTGAATTTCACTATTAGAAACCTGCTCGTAATTACTCAGACGCATATTTATGTATCCAATACGATGGAAATGCTCTTACCTTTAAGCTTAAGTTCTACCTGATGTTTCAATTTTTTGCCTTTCATATTAACTTGACATTCGTAAGTGCCCTCGTCATCTAAATCTGTATTTTGTATAATAAGGTTCCATTGTTGACTGTTGGGAACATGTTCCACATGAATTCGACTGTCTTTTACCCATGTCGATTGGGCTACTGTTAAAGGATTGGGGTTGGGTAACTTTCGCCAGGATACCTGAAAAATGTCAAACCTACAATACAATGCCTGTATTAGGCCCCTATATTATATTCGAATACAGCTGTGTGTAGGAGAATTCATCGATTCATCTCTGTCAAACAGTGCAGGTCATATTAAACTAACAGTGTTATTTGCGTCATAATGAGGCAATTTGTATATATATATTCGGTTATTTGCTCAACAAAGCTCTAAAGACTTCATTTAAAAGCGATTTTTATATTTAATAAATTAAATATCATAAACAATCCTTAGAGATCTATATTTTGGTTAAATGATGCCAAAATGTCACGAACAGTTAATTGAATTCTTGATACAATAACCCATTCTGAGATTTTAATCAAATTTAAATCATCTGATTTTTCACGACCGTGTACAGCAATATCAAAATTGAACTAATTTGTTTTGATAAAATTTGTTTAACAATTGAATTATAAACGACTTTATGGGAATATTAATGGTAGCTTTGATAATAGAAAATGCATAAAATTTTTTATAAATAATGATTTTATTTTTATTTTCAAGAGAATAATTTTTCGTATAACCTGATATAGATTTATCTGACCCGCTGTTATTCAGCTTTATCACATCGAAAAGACAAATTTGACTTTATTTCTAGAAGTGAAAAATGAACTATTTCCATACAAGGATATCATGACATTCTCCTTGTAAGCTAATTACGATATTACGAAACCAAAAATGGCACGTATTAATACGATTCAAGGTGTGTATTCGTTTACAATCTCATTATGTTATACTTTTGAAAGCTGGTAGGGGAATAAGTTGAAGCGCAATGTATTCTAATTATTAGCACCAGGCTTATGGTGCGATGTTACCAGTAGGATATCATTAGACATGATAACGTGCAATTTTCGTCCAAGCAAGACTAAAATTAACGCATGCTTGAGGTGTCACTTACCGTTCTTTTCCCTAGGTTTTTAACGGAACAGAATAAAATGGCTGTTTCACCAACATTATAATTTGCTATAGTTGATACTTCGTTAAAATTAGGCTTCCGAGATCTAACTCCATCTGCTATCCGACCTGAAGTGAACGAAATTAATGTACCATTGCAAATTTGATTGATAACATAACAAATTATTATAAATTATGTCCTATTAATGAGACTAACTGTAAAACAATCGGTTAGAGCGTTCCATTCTTTACATGGACACATTTGTAGGTAATATGTTAAGTCTCAGAGAGGTTTCATTCGCTGAAACTTAGACATTTGACTGAGACAAAATGATTATAAAAACCCAAGGTGGAATTTAATAAATTTTCATTTGTCTGGTTCTTTTTTTTCTTATTAAATAGACATTGTTTTTTGACAGTCAGTCTGAATGTCGAGACTACAAGGGATCACGTGGGTTACATATCATGGGTTATATTAGAATCAAGATATATGTCTTATATCAGACGTAATTAATAATTGTATATATAATATAAAAAATATATTCTTTGTATTGGTTTATAAATGCTATAAATCAAACATGACATGACAATATTTCCAGAAAGATCTTGGTCAGTCAATTGGAAAGGTTGTTCTTCAATCTTCACAGTGTCAAGCTTGACTTAAACACTATGACATCTTCACAGTCTATTATGAAATTCGTATTGTACCCTGACTGCAATAGCCATTTCTTGTATGACAGAAATTGTTAATGCACCGATTTGGTTGAATTATACGTAGGCGAATACAGCCAATCAGATGCCTGAGCAAAAAGGCTGTAAACAATAAGCAATAACATTTAAAGTCTGTTTGTCGGGGGTTATGATTGCCTGTATTCGTTGGTGCACAATCCAATCGACAATTATGTGACATCAAAATAGCTATCGCAGTCACGGTAAAAGACAAGTTCGTAATAGCTGACTGGCCAAGCTCATACTTAGCTCGTATAGGTTATGGATGGATTCATTAGCCACGAATTACTAAATATCTAGCTTATAATATGAATATAATATAATATAAATAGACATATTGAATTGTTACCAGATTTTAAAAGTTTCTGAAGTTTTAAGTTATTTCATATGGTAACTGGTTACCGTGATGAGAATTAACCAAAAGTAAACATTGGACAAAGTTCAAAAGGCAACCCAATCTAACCCTATGATTGTATAAGGCTATTAGTTTATAATTACTGTTTCATTCCTCAATCTTGTACCCAAAATAACTGGTATCCGATCTCTCTCACATTTGATTCTCATTATAGTAATCTTGACTACGTTTCATACATGAAAGAGGATTTTGTAGTGAGAATCAATAAAGAAGGAAGCCTGATAAAAGATACATAATAAGACTTGTCTGAGAATAGACAATCAACGTTAAAACAACATCATAAAATAACCACATGCTTGAAGGCTGTTAGAATAAAAACCTCAAGATTCCATCTTAATAGTTAGAACATCTTACTTTCTCCTCTAATTGAAGTTTAATGGGAGTTGAACACAGAATGAAGTATGTTCTGCGCCCAGCTTTCAATAACGTTTTTCTTTCAAACTGTGTTACAAAAAGTAGGGAAACCTGAACACAATGTTAAAATTCATTATGTCAGTTTAGGTCAATTTATTACATGTAGAACTGCAGGCATCTAAGAAACTACAAGATGCGCTATTCTCTACCCAAAGAATTTGCATATAAGAATATAGTCTAGCGATCTGGTTAAATATTAAGCATTAAAACGCGTGTAGAATTTCCGGATTGAAAACGCACGACGTCAAAACATCATCATCAACAAAACTAATTGAATTTCACGGAGTTTTACACCTATTTAGATTACAAGCACGATGATGCCAAAATGATAACAGTGTTAAGAATATGACAGTTATCAAGATACATTCCCACATGATGTCAAAGGTTATAGTAAGTATTTGTAGAGGTAAACGACTGAAGTGAAATTCCAATATTGTCATCATCTTCGCGTTAAACAAGGATAAACTCGATACTTTTCAGATATTGATGATTCTAAAGAAGACGTTTCTTGCAATTTCATGAAATTAAATGATCTGAATAGAATATGCTGTATACATTTAGGATGTTTGTGCCCTGTTTTATACCTTATTAGGTTCATGATGATTGCCTAATTTGGTGTATTGTTAAATAATTGATGCTTTATTGCAGAGAAGACATCCGTATTCTGCTCAATCTGGAATTCCGCTACATGTCTTCGATAAAAGTCACTGGCATAGCTGACCTTAAGGATACGAGTATCATTGCGCAAATCAATATGGCAGCTTCAAAATTAATGTGGCAAACGATACTGAAATGATAGCCTTCGTACATGCAGTAATATGTAAAGATGGTGAAACAAGTATCAAGTTAGCATATAAAGAAACATATATCCAAACTGAAATCTAGGATATGATATTGCTGGAAGCCGAAATCGAGTTCAGGTGGTTATGTTTCACCTTTGGTCTTATCTGATTCAGTTTAAGTTTCATTACCTTTAACCACCCCTTCTCATGTTTTCTTTGTCAAGTATGACTTAATGAATCAATAATGCTCAACTTTGACAAGAAAATATATTTCATTGTTGGCAGGAACGATATTAATCAGATTTAGTGTGACAGTAGTCTTTAACATTTCCATTGCATTAAATTCAACTTCTTCGAGACACCATCCTTCAAACGTCACCTTAATCATATTAAAGACAAGCTTCATTTTATCTGATCAAGCCACTATAGTCTCCAGATACTTATATATCTTGACGTTTTATGTTGGCCATTAAACAAGTTATGTATTAATAACATGATTAGATTGAATGTGAAATGTTACAAGATTGTTACAGATACCATATTATCTAATAAATATATTAGTAAATAATTTACCAAACCACTTATGAATTTAAAGTACCGGAAACTCGTAGAGTTATTATTCATGACATTGATAATTCAATTAGAGTAGTAATAAGTTACATAATTTGTGATATTCACCGAATTTTGTCAGTGCCTGACTATAATATATATATATATATGTTTGAAGGGGTTAACTTTTGAACTGTGTTGTCAATTTTTCCTCAAACACTGTTTTTTGGAGTGGAGAGGTGGTTTGGTAAGAGATTAGGTGCCGTGTGTTCCAAATTCTGAAGCATTGGCCAGTGCTTCCGGGAGTCGACAATGGGTCAGTATTCAATCCCTATCACCAAAGTATAGTGGCATTACTTCAAAAGTCATGCCTGAAGTGAGAGCTCTGATAGCAATAACGACAGAAAGCAGCAACCAATGGAATCAGGGTTTTCAGAGAACGAAGTAAGAAACTGAAAGTAGTCGACAGGACTAAAATCTCAGATAAACAAAAATAGCAATGATATATAGAAATCGCTTTTTGAATAGATCGTTATATTCCTTTTGATATACAATTCTTAAAAACAATACCCGACATCCGGTCTTTAAAATGAACTCACTCCAAATACAGACGTGTCCGTTTCACGGTTTCATCAATTTACGTCTTTTAAGCTGTTTCTAATCATTAAAATATCCATGCTTCGTTTACATGAAAAGACATCACAAACTTTGATCATTTCTTATCAGAAAATCTGGCCAACAAAATGTGTTAATTTCCATTAGCAGAAGCGTGAAACAGATAATGTTTAATAATACGATCATTTGTTCCACAGAACCAAATGTTGCTAAGACTGTAGGTTACATACACATCTGTGAAGGAGAGTGTTCAATATGTGTGAAACTTTGAATCTAGGGTTAATGTGAGACAGGATAGTCATTCAATATTTAATACCTTTTCTCATTTCTTATCCGGATCCCTTAAATGAATGATATACGTTAGATAAGTCGTTATATATATCTATACCATCGGGATAGTCGGCTTTTGGACTTTCGGATAGCGTTTTGTAACTTTGGGATTGAATAACGTGTGGAAGTTACGATAAAAGATCGAGACTACAAATTGGGCAATAGACCCCTCTATATTTTACAACGAAAGGACGTTGGATTGCTACTGTCCAGTGGTATTATCAGTTTGTATTGTTTCAACTGTTTACATGACAAACCTTCCAACTAATCAGTAAAAGTGGAATAACGTGACATGTTTTACACCTGATATAAAAATTAGTCATTATAATTAACAGCCTGATTGTCACGCAGCAGAAAACCACCAGAAGCATCAAAATAACCTAGCTAAACTTACTACGTCAGCAGATATTGTAAAGCTAGTTCATAATTCTTCCAAGCTTACCCATGTACATTGGACAGGATACCAAATCATAATCGAAAGCAAGTCCAACGTCACATTATCACAAGTTAAAAATTAACATTATTGGAGATAATTGATTAACTTTCTGGAGATATAATTGGTTGGAGCATTCTCTTTAGCCACCTTTATGAATATGATCACCCTTAACAATAAATAGCATAAGCTAGAATATTTCTAGGTTAACAGATCATAACGTGTAAATTGATGTCATGACATCGTCCGTAGACGATTAAATAAATGCCAATAAGAGCCAGTGTTCTAGCTCCATCTACCGCTGTCCAAATGACAAAATAGGCATGTTATTTATGGTTAAGTTAACACGTGTTAGTGTTTCAGGTACCTGTAAAGATATCAGTAATGAACACCTGTTTTCAGATAATTATCAGTTTAAATGATCACCAATCCTCTACTAACACTGATATATGTGTATGTTATTGTCTTGCTATCTTTTTGTTTGTCTCAAACTAACCAAGCGCTCTTCATACCTCAAGAATAAAGGATTGAAATTTTACCATTTTAAAATTTCCGAAATAAACTTTTCTTCATAAATCAGGATCTGATCTTAGTTAAGCTTTTGAGAATAAGTACGGACCCAGAACATTAGAATGTATCAAATGAAGTTAATTAAAAAAAAATCTTCAAAGCATCGATTCTTTTTTTTAACATACTTGTCATTGCATGTTGACTTTAGATTTATAACTTCGTCTGAACTTCTTATTTCCAACTATTTCAAAACCATTGATATCTTAGATATACAGATTGTG